ATCACGGTTTAGAGAGAGGGTCTGTGAACACAACACGGTTTAGAGAGAGTCTGTGAACACAACACGGTTTAGAGAGAGGGTCTGTGAACACAACACGGTTTAGAGAGAGGGTCTGTGAACACAACACGGTTTAGAGAGAGAGTCTGTGAACACAACACGGTTTAGAGAGAGTCTGGGAACACAACACGGTTTAGAGAGAGTCTGTGAACACAACACGGTTTAGAGAGAGGGTCTGGGAACACAACACGGTTTAGAGAGAGGGTCTGGGAACACAACACGGTTTAGAGAGAGGGTCTGGGAACACAACACGGTTTAGAGAGAGGGTCTGTGAACACAACACGGTTTAGAGAGAGGGTCTGTGAACACAACACGGTTTAGAGAGAGTCTGTGAACACAACACGGTTTAGAGAGAGAGTCTGTGAACACAACACGGTTTAGAGAGAGGGTCTGTGAACACAACACGGTTTAGAGAGAGTCTGTGAACACAACACGGTTTAGAGAGAGTCTGTGAACACAACACGGTTTAGAGAGAGAGTCTGTGAACACAACACGGTTTAGAGAGAGTCTGTGAACACAACACGGTTTAGAGAGAGGATCTGGGAACACAACACGGTTTAGAGAGAGAGTCTGTGAACACAACACGGTTTAGAGAGAGAGTCTGTGAACACAACACGGTTTAGAGAGAGAGTCTGTGAACACAACACGGTTTAGAGAGAGTCTGTGAACACAACACGGTTTAGAGAGAGGGTCTTGGAACACAACACGGTTTAGAGAGAGTCTGTGAACACAACACGGTTTAGAGAGAGTCTGGGAACACAACACGGTTTAGAGAGTGGGTCTTGGAACACAACACGGTTTAGAGAGAGGGTCTGTGAACACAACACGGTTTAGAGAGAGGGTCTGTGAACACAACACGGTTTAGAGAGAGGGTCTGTGAACACAACACGGTTTAGAGAGAGGGTCTGTGAACACAACACGGTTTAGAGAGAGTCTGTGAACACAACACGGTTTAGAGAGAGAGTCTGTGAACACAACACGGTTTAGAGAGAGGGTTTGTGAACACAACACGGTTTAGAGAGAGGGTCTGTGAACACAACACGGTTTAGAGAGAGGGTCTGTGAACACAACACGGTTTAGAGAGAGGGTCTGTGAACACAACACGGTTTAGAGAGAGGGTCTGTGAACACAACACGGTTTAGAGAGAGGGTCTGTGAACACAGGTTTACGGAGAGGGTCAGGATTAGGGCTGCGCGATATATCGATATTGCGATATTGGTGCATGCAATACCCACATTGAAAGTGTGCACAATTTAAATAAAAATAAAAGAAGAATATTTATTAAACACAACAAAACAGACACATCAACATTCAACAAAAACAACAAACAAACAAACACAAAGTATACACATTTATGCATTTGAAGGTCATTAATGTTTCTGTTATGTGTCTCTTGCGTTTCAAAGCAGAAGCAATTTTATGTGAAAGAAAAAAATATCGCAGTAATATTGTTATCGCCAAACTAAACACTCAGATCGAATATCGCTCTCATTCCCAACATCGTGCAGCCCTAGTTTGGATCATGAGGCCGGACGAGACAGAACCGGAGAATGTAGACCGTGTGAGGAGAGCGTAGATTCAGATTTATTTGCCATGTGCAGTATAAAAACCACATTTGCAGAAAAGGTTCTCTGTGACAGAATAAAGATCACAATGTCATATAAAATACACAAACACTGAACATGAATAAAAACAGCTGAGACTGTGGCACCGATCGACAAAAAAACGATCCAAGGCTAAAAACAACAATGAAAGTGCTCTGCTCAGACACAGCTGTTAGCATAGCGAGATGTCTTGCATCTCAGCGACCGATATCTTCTTTCCGAGGGAAGAAGCTGGAACATGGTACTTTAGTCCAAGTTTGGGGTCATTCTTTCATAAATAACACATGTTTTTTACTCCAATGGAACGGAGCAAAGCAAATGATTTTAATGTGTCATATTACACACTGGAAACAAAAAATAAAAAATAAATGAAAAAGGAAAATACTGTTTAAAAAAAAGTGCTGAAATGGTTCTGAATTGTCAAAATGTCTGAAATAAATTGAGTTGAATTGATTTTACAATGTGGAAGCCATCTTTTTATTTAGTTCTAGTTGTTTATTTTTATTCTAGTTATAGCCGTGCAAAGAAAGAGGTCTCATGACTGGGAGCAGCGTCTGCAGTCAGAGCTGTATCGGACTGTTGTGGTGAAGAGGGAGCAGCGTCTGCAGTCAGAGCTGCATCAGACTGTTGTGGTTAAGAAGGAGCAGCGTCTGCAGTCAGAGCTGTATCGGACTGTTGTGGTGAAGAGGGAGCAGCGTCTGCAGTCAGAGCTGCATCAGACTGTTGTGGTTAAGAAGGAGCAGCGTCTGCAGTCAGAGCTGTATCAGACTGTTGTGGTTAAGAAGGAGCAGCGTCTGCAGGTAAAGCTCCCATTACCTAAACCTCTGGTCATGAGCTTTATAAGGACCGAAAGGACGAGATCCCAGAGACGAGATCACGTTGACGAGATCGCGGAGACGAGATCGCGGAGACAAGATGGCGTAGACGAGATAGCGGGGGAGATCGTGGATACAAACAGTCCACATGAGCTTTCTCTGCAGAGTGGTGGCTCCCTTAGAGATAGAGGAGCTCAGTCACATGGAAGGAGCTCGGAGTAGAGCCGCTGTTTCTCCACATTGAGAGGAGCCAGTGGCCGTGGCTCTATCTACTTTGGAAGTCTCACTTGAAGAAGACCAGGGGAAGACGCCTCTGGTACTGTATGTGGAAAGAGATTTCTGGGTGTGTTTTGCTTAGACTGCTGCCCCCACCACCCGGCAACGGATAAAGCGGAAGAAAGTGGAAGGATGGAATTCTTCACACGTTTCTAAATCATAGCATCACTCAGATATCATTATAAGAAGGTTAAAACTGTGCAGGACCTTATTTTTCAAGCGATTTGAATGGTATTAAATTGCACAAATAAACAGAAAATAAATTCACGTTTCTTGCGTTTTTTGGCGATCCTTTAAACGTCTAAAACATTCTGATTTCCTGATGATTTATAGTCTCTGCTTCAGTTTGGACTCACGCCTGGATCAAGAAACACCTGTTTGCAGACTTCAGGTGTCTGTGTTTTGTGGTTTGGTGTTGGCTCTTTTCACACACTCGCTTCCAAGACTTGAAAACCCTGGAGCGTGTTTTTGTTACGTTTAAATGAAGTCTGTAATTACTGCGTTTGGCGCTTTACTCTCGCTCCGGCTCAACGTGACACATCAGAAAGCAATAGCAAGACATTACGGCAAACAACCGCAGATACGCAGAAGAACGGGGGTAATGGCTTTATCTCAAGTGTTTTAAGTTTGTTGTATTTGAGAGAAACACAGATGTTGTTTCTCCAAAAATAATGTAATCTTTTAATAATGCATCGGTTTTACGTACATAGCTTTCTCGACGCTCAAAGTGGTGATTAACTACTGTAGCCGCAGCTGCCCTGGGGCACACTGACAGAAGCGAGGCATCCAGTCTGTGCCATCGGCCCCTCCCACCACCACCAACCATTCACTCACACACCAGACTCATTCTGATGTGGGGGAAGTGTCTTGCCTAAGGACACAACCACAGTTTACAGCCGCAGCCGCCCCACTGTGACCCCTGGTGTTCCCAGAGGTCTCCCATCACAGCACTGACCAGGCCCTGCCCTGCTTAGTTTCAAAGGTCTGACGGGATCTTGCTTTGACCTGCAGGTGGCGCCACATACTTTGATTTGGTTTGGACTTTGAACATAGTAAAAGACCACAATAATACATCATGTAAGTATAGAGTATTGTATAAAACAAATATTAAATCATAAAGTGTTTGAAATATTTTGTTTGCTTCAGATAAAAGGCAGAAACTCAAAGCATTTTTGGAGCTTTAATGACGGAGCTACTTGACCAGAATTGTGAAGCCAAATGTAGCTAATCTGTGCATAGCAACGACCGAGCAGCCAATCAGGAGCGGCGTCGGGCTGTCTCCTCTCACACTATTCGCTGGAGCCAATTTCCGAGACAAAATTGTGTTCTTATTGAATTCCTTTTGAGGAAATTAGCATCAAAATATAAACTATATATACTGAGGTCGAGGAGTTTAAGTCGATAGGAGCCAGAGCGAGTTGGAGCAAAACTTTGTCCATGAGCACTTCCCTATTGAGTTTATTTGAGGTAGAGAGTTAAAACTGGGGGTTAATGTTAGAACGTTTAAAAAGCAAAGGCAATCTTCAACGACTCGGCCATATAGGACATAGAAACAGACCCTGTGCTAAACCATATATACCTGTGTCGTCCTAGCCTGGTCTGACCACACCACTGTACACATTTCATTTGTACTAAGGTCTGGATTTGCTCCATTCTCCGTGAACAGGTGGGAGGGGCTAACTCCTTTTGCAGATTGAAACCATTGGATCTGAGTTTACTGTGACGTATGTAATGAGCCCGAGTCTGTTGTTAGCATTTAGCATTTAGCCTAGCTTTAGCCATCTCCTCTGCCACTAACGGAGCCCGTGGGGAGTAGCGCCACAACATCTTTGCCTCAATGACATTTACTAAACTTTCCTCTTGCTCCGGCTTCAGTTTCTTGATATTTGGATTGAACCAGAACAGATTATTTTACTATCACATTCTCCGACAAACTACGACCAGCAAATTCAGACAAACTCTTGACGTCACCGACACCGACCTACAACACCCGCCTCCCCCGCTCTCTGATTGGTCGGAGGGGATTCAACCGAGGAAACTGCAGCCACTAGGATCAGACCCAGACGTACATGTAGGAAATGATCATGGACCAGAGTTTACACATGGTAAGACCAGACGTACATGTAGGAAATGACCATGGACCAGAGTTTACACATGGTAAGACCAGACGTACATGTAGGAGATGACCATGGACCAGAGCTGACACATGGTAAGACCAGGTTAGTGTTGATAGTATGAAGTGTCTCAC